ACACCTCCGAATGTAAGAGTGTTAAGGGGGTCATCCGGCAGATGATCGATAGCGGAGAGCTGGGCAAAGATTACTTGCAGAAAGCCCATGAGAAGAGTCATCAATGGGTTAGGCCAGCTGCCCCAGGGAATGACCGGGACAATGACCGACGGAGGAATAACCGGCCAGGGGAGCGGCAACCTGCCCCCGAAAAGGAACACATCGGCATGATCTTCGGCGGACCCGAGGGTGGAGATTCAGCCGCGCAGCGAAAGAACTGGGTCCGGAGCATTTACGTTGGAGAGGTAAGTGCTGAACCGCCCAGGCGTAAGCATACTAGGAGGGAGCCTATCGTCTTTACTGACCGGGATCTCCCTCCTACCGGTGAAGATCACAATGATCCATTGGTCATCACCATGGACATTAATGGGGTGGATGTCGCCCAGGTACTTGTTGACACCGGTAGCAGTGTCAACATCTTATACCTGGAGACCTTCCAGAAACTCAGGTTGTGTCGAACACAACTTGAACCCCTCAAAACCCCTCTCTCAGGCTTCACGGGGGACACCGTTGAAGCTGAAGGATCCATAGTTCTACCGGTCGAACTAGGGTCAGGTGAAAAGACCGTGTGGAAGAAGATGCGGTTCATAGTTGTGGACATCAAATGCGTCCACAACGCAATTCTTGGAAGGCCAGGCATCAATAAAGTCGGGGCGGTGATTTCCATGCCTCATCTATGCATGAAGTTCCACACTCCAGGTGGTGTGTGTGAGGTGAAGGGCGACCAGAGGAACGCCCGGGAGTGCTATGCCCGGGCAGTCAAGAAAATGACCAGGGGGTCAATGTCATCTCCCAAGAGATCACAAAGGGAGAGACCCGGGAGAAATTTGAGCCCGAGGCCGAGACGGTAGAAATCGAACTTTACCCGGGTGATTCTTCGAGGATGGTCAGGATTGGAGCAAATCTCCCCGAGGATCTCAAGGCACAGATTACACGGGTCCTCCAAGAATACGCAGGCATATTCGTATGGAGCGTGGCGGATATGCCTAGAATAGATCGCTCTGTTATCTGCCACCGGTTGGCCGTGAGGGAGGGAAGTCGACCGGTACGCCAAAAGAAGCGGTACCTGGCCAGTGACCGGCGAGACTTCGTCAAGAAGGAAGTGAAAGACCTCCTCGGTGTTGGTCACATCCGGGAAGTCAAGTACCCGGATTGGCTGGCCAACGTTGTCCTTGCTCCCAAGGGCGACACGTGGAGAATGTGTGTGGATTATACGGACTTGAACAAGGCTTGTCCGATGGATTCATACCCCCTCCCCAGTCCAGATCAAATGGTGGACGAAACTGCGGGGTGCGAACTCCTAAGTTTCATGGACGCCTTCAAGGGTTACCACCAAATCTACATGGCCAAGGAAGATGAAGAGAAGATGTCATTCCTCACACCCGAAGGAACCTACTGCTATCAGGTAATGGCGTTCGGCTTGAAGAACTCGGGGGCAACCTACCAGCGCATGGTGAACAAGCTCTTCAAGCCACTACTGGGAAAGACCATGGAGGCATACGTCGACGACATGCTGATCAAAATCCAGGTATCTCTGAACCACCCGGCTGATATGCGAGCCACGTTCGATATCATGGCAAAGTATAACCTCCGGCTGAATCCTAAGAAATGCGTCTTCGCGGTTCGTACCGGGAAGTTCTTGAGATTCATGGTGACCAAGAGAGGAATAGAGCCCAACCCAGAGAAAATTCGGGCTATCACTGAAATGCAAGCCCCTACCTCCGTTAGGGATGTTCAAAAGTTGACCGGTTGTTTAGCGGCCTCAGCCGGTTCCTTTCCCGGTCAGCTGAGAGATCCCTGCCCTTCTTCAAAGTTCTGACGAAGGCCAACGCATTTGCATGGGACAAAGAATGCCGGAGGGCATTCGAGGAGCTGAAAGAGTACCTAGCGTCGGATATTGTATTGTCTAAACCCGAACCGGGTGAAACTCTGTATCTGTACCTGGGAATTTCCCCAAATGTTGTAAGCTCCGTTTTAATACGAGATGATGGGGCACAAAAGCCCATTTATTATGTGAGCAAAGCACTAAACGGGGCTGAGAGTAGATATACGGCGATGGAAAAAACAGCCTATGCGCTTTTCATCTCCGCAAAAAAGTTAACATCCTACTTCCAAGCTCACCCGGTAGAAGTCTTGACTGACCAACCGCTGGGTGCAGTGTTGCGAAATTCAACATCCTCCGGGAGGATGGTAAAGTAGGCAATGATGTTCACTCAATTCCACATTGAGTACCGGCCGAGGTCGGCAATTAAGGGACATGCCCTTGCTGACTTCCTAGTAGAAATGACCGGTCTAACTCATAACTTACCGGTCAACAAGCCCACTGAGCAATGGTGGGAGATGGCAGTTGATGGGGCATCCGGTCCTAGAGGATACAGGGGTGGTATCGTGTTCACCACCTCAGAAGGGTTCAAGATCTACCATGCAATCGTCTTCAACTTCAAGCTGACGAACAATGAGGCAGAATATGAAGCTCTGGTTGGAGGGCTCAGACTTGCCCAAGCTCTGAAAATCAGCCGGGTCAGTATCAAATCTGACTCTAGCCTGATAGTAGGGCAGGTGACCGGTAACATGGAAGCAAGGGAAGGACGCATGGCACAATACAAGGACCTTGTACTTGCCCTGTTGAAGGGCTTCGAAGAATTCAAGATCGTCCAGATTCCCCGGGCGGAGAACGCGGATGCAGACCTTCTCTCCAAATTGACGCAGTATGCTCCCGAGCATGTTTCGAAACTTGCCCGGGTAGAGATCCTTGACCGTGCAAGCATCGAGAAATTGGAAGTCGCCGCTATAGCGACCGGAAGCCAGTTTGACCGGTCAAACTTGGTCAGGGCGGACGACCATTGGATGTATGATCTGATGGAATATTTGACGGATGGGAGCTTTCCAGAACAAGATGACCGGGCAAGAAAAGTGAAGCTCAGGGCACCCCGATTCCAAATTCTTGATGGAAAGCTGTATAAAAGGGCATTTAGGGGGCCACTCCTGAGATGTCTAACCAACCGGGAGGCTGAGCGAGTCATAGCAGAAGTCCACGAAGGCGTATGCGCGGCGCATCAAATGTCCCGTACGCTTTCCCAGCGCATTATCTTGTTGGGGTATTACTGGCCAACAATTGTCCAGGACTGTGAGAGGTTTGTACAGAAATGTAGAACATGTGAAGTGTTCTACAAGTACCCCGGTAGACCAGCAACCTACTATCACCCCGTATCGAATGTCATCCCATTCGCTAGGTTCGGGGTTGATATCATTGGAGCATTCCCAGTCGCCCAAGGAGGGAAGAAGTTCGTGATCGTAGCCATCGATTACTTCACCAAATGGATCGAGGCCGAAGCATTGGCCAACATTACCACGCAACAATGCAAGAAATTCATTTGGAAGAACATCATCACGAGATTTGGAGCGCCCATGAACCTCATCACCGACAACGGCCCACAATTCTGAAATCCAAGATTCACTGAATACTTGGAGGGCTTCGGGATCAAGAACAATCGCTCTTCGGTGGCGTACCCCCAAGGAAATGGCCAAGTCGAAAACGCCAACAGAACTATTGTAGATGGCTTGAAGAAGCGGTTGGGAGAAGCAGGGAACAAGTGGCTGGAAGAGCTCCCACACATTGTATGGGCATTCCGGGTAACACCCAGGAGGGCTCATGGGGAAACTCCATTCTCCCTAACCTATGGATGTGAAGCAAGGCTGCCCATCGAAGCTGAATTCCCAACGTTCCGGGAATCAAACTATCAACCCCAGCAGAATGAGGAAGACCACTTGGCCGAACTCAACTTGGTCGAAGAGCGGAGAATGGCCGCGGAAGTCAAAATGAGCACATACCAACAAGTTGTGAAGAAGTACCATGATAACAAGGTTGGGCCGCGGTACTTCCAAGTTGGGGATGAAGTCCTACGAAGAAGAGAAGCAAGTAGACCCGGCGACGGAGGAAAGCTAGCCAAAAACTGGGAAGGGCCTTACCGGGTGAGAGCTATCATTCGCCCGGGGACCTACCGTTTAGAAACTCTTGAAGGGGTACCGGTAGAAAGAACCTGGAATTCCCATCATCTTCGCAAGTTCTACAAATGATTGTAATACTAGGCAAGGCCTACCTTATTATCAATCAAACCGATGATGTTCAATACTCTATTTGGTAGCGGCAGAATTGATAGGTCGAACCTATCCTAGGAGGGCTTCCTGGGTGGATCGAATCCACTTAGATAAGCTGACTGAGACATAGGCCCGGACCTGGCACGCTGGTTACTACACCGGTCTTGCCCAGTATAATAGAAAAAATATTAAAACCCGGAAGAGGGGCCCGGAAGAGGGTATGCCTGCAAGAGGGCTGGACCTAGAAGAGGGTTCGAACCGTACTTACACGGGCCCATGAGGTTTGACTGGTGTCGGGGAATCAGCCGACGCCGTCAAATTGATTGGGGATTAAAAAATGCCCATTAAAAGAAATAGAAGGGGATCGTCCACCGTGGCGCATCCTGTTTCCCCCTTCTCAGGGAAGACTTGAACGGGAGGGTGAGCTAAGGCCTTCCCGGGATGGTAGAAATCAAAGGACCATTAAAAGACTTAATCATCCGGAAGAGGGGACCCTGGAAGAAGGGTGCATTTGAACCTTGGAGAGGGTTCGAAACCATTCGACATGGTTAAATCTCCAGTATTCTTACCGGTTAAGGATACTTCAAGAATTACTAGGTTACAGGTGTTTCCATCTACAACCTACCGATAAAAAAAAATACCCCGGTCGGGTATGGGCACAACAGAACTTCGAAAGTTCTACAATCCATCGAAAGGCAAGGCAGTTGACCGGTCAAACCATGGAGTGGAAATTCACCGGTCGAAGTAAACTCTACCAAAAGAATTTGTGAAGCTATCCAAAAGGCAAGAGTAAAGTTCGGCCGGTCAAACTTTTTAAGTTGGCCAAAATGATGAAGACGTTCGAAAAGCAAAAATCGAAGTTTAACCGGTCAAAGTTACTCGGGCTGATCCTTGAAGTGAAGTGACCAGAGAGAACTTTGAAGTTATACCGGTCGAACGCGGTAATGGTTGATCTACGTACCGGTCAGAATTTCTAGGATGGCATTCTAAGGAGCAAGATCAAAGTATAAATCAACAAGCAAGCAGATATGGAAGATTAACCGGGTAGGAAAAACAAACATGGCATTCAAATAAAAATGATAAGTGTTTACATGTTACACCGGGCATCCCCGGGAAAATTCATAGTTTTTGGCTTTCAACACGCAACAACCGGGCGCAGCCGGGAAGTCTACTCGAGAGGGAAGGGAGGCGCAGGTTCTTCGTCCGGGATGGGGGCCAGACCGTATGATTCGGCGTTGAAGTCCGGATCCCGGTCGGCAAGGATCGCATGGGTGGCCTCCCGGTCTCGCTTTTGGCCACACATGAAACCATAGGAGCCGATCTGGGTAATCATCTCTTTCCCTTGCTCCTCCCGGTACAGCAACTTGAAGCCCTCCATTGTCCTTTCCTCGGAGGAAGTAAGCACCCGGGCAGCCTCCACTAGGTTCTCCTCCATCCACTGTCTGGCCCGACCGGGCAGCTCTTGCTCCTTCACCCATGCCTCCTCCTTCAGGTGGGAGACCTCCCCCATCAGCAGCGAGTTCTCCTCTTTCAGCTGGAGGACTTCCGCGTTCGCTCTACCGGCAACCACCGAGAGGTTGGCCATCTCGTCATGTTGCCGGGTTGTCAGGTCTTGAAGCTCCCGGTTATGGGCTTCAAGCCTCTTCAGTTTTTCCTCTAGCTGGAGTGACCGGGAAGGGGAGTCCTTGGAAAGCTTCCCCAGAGTTTCAGGCCCGACCTCACCCATCTGCAAAACCAAACATACCGGTCAGGATGGCAAACAAGTAATAAAGCTGAGGAAAGTGTACCGGGCGAATGTTACCTCTTTCAACTTTCGCCCCATCTTGACCCAGAGCTCCTCTAGCGACTCTGTGGCCGGGACGCTTTCTCCCCTCCTCCTCTTGGCTGAGGGATGAGTGGTGGCGGCGTGCTTCGTCCGGACCCTCCCCTTCCCCTTGTCCAAGGGAGGATTTACCGTGGTCCTCCCGGCATGACCAGTCGGAGGAGTTTCCTCCTCAGAATTGATCTCCACCGGCTCCTGTTGCACCGGTACGGTTCTTGGGGCAGCAGAGGAGGAGCCACCGGTCTTCTTCGTGGGGATGTTAAATGCTCTAAAGTTCATCTCTGCAAAACAAGCGAAAATATTAATCAAGCATGGACCGGTATATAGAAAGGAAGAAGGAAGAAGAGGAAGGGAGGATACCTGGGTGACTGGAACCCCTAGCTTCCGCAGTGTTGCCCGGGGCGGGTACCCCGTGCCCCGCTGCTTCATCAGCCCGGGGGGTACCCGTGCCACCCGGTGAAATCCTCCAAATCCAAGCCCCGTAATGGAACATTTGCCCGGTGAACGGGTCCCCTTGTAAGAGTTTCTCCAAACTTTCTTCCAAGTCTGGAGCCTTAGCCGGCTCGGTGTATTGCGGTTTCAGGAGGTGGTCGCTCCACTTTATGCCGGCCAAAGGAGAAACGGTGGGGAATTTTATAAAGACAAATTTTTCCTTCCACGGCCGGTTGCTTTGTGGAAGGTCAAAGATGAATTGGCGACCGTTACGGCCCTTGAAATAGACGTAGCCGTCGCAACCCGACTTACCGGGAAGGACTTCAAACAAATAGAGGAAAAAGCGAAGAGAAGGATCGATTTTGAGATGGGAGCAGATATTTACAAAAGCATTAAGAAAACGGTGGGCATTGGGCGTAAGTTGCCCGGGGAGGATCTTGCAAGTGGCACAACTCGACCAGAAGGGGGCGAAGGGGGAAGACGGTGCCACTCTCCAGGGAGATGATATGGAACCCTACCCTATCGTCCTGGTGAGGCTCGATGATATTGTGCCAGTTAAGGTCGTATTCAAGGACATACCCCTCCGGGAGGTTCCTACGTGCCTTATTTTGGGCAATTTTGGAAACGTGGGGGTAGATGTCTGAAGGGTAACTGGTGGGGAGGGGAAAGTAACCGGCCGCTTCTAGCCGGTTCACCCATCCCTCATACGACTCGCTGTCAGGGTCATAGGGAGCCGGCTCATCGTCAACCGGTTCATCCCTCTCCTGAGAAACCTGACCGGGCATCTGGTTCAGGGACCGTGGTGTTGGGGCCTGACCGGGTCTCGAAACTGGATAAAGAGGACCCAGTCGAAGAAGAGGAGGTTGAAGATTCCTCGGATGCGCAGGCATCCGAGGAAGAAATACCTTGACTATCAGAAGAAGACATTGACCGGGAATGAAAACTGAAGAGAGAAGAGAGCTTACTTGGCTCGGAGGGCTGGAGGGCAGGAGAGAGAAGTTGACTGGTGAAACTCGAGAAATGCGCGAGGAAGAAGTGAGGAAGGCAGTGGGGATGGAAGCCTTTATATAGGCGAGGAGGAGGGAGAGGGAGGCGACGTTGCTTCACCAGGGCGCGCTGCGTCAGGCGGCGCCATCATTGTACCTGGGGAGACGAAAGGGCGCAGGTCTGACGTCGTCCAGTGGGCCACACGTGTCATAACTGACACATTGAATTTTGAAATTCAAAAATTTCGAGCGGGAAAAGCCAAAAATTCAAATTTAAAGGTCCAGTTTTAAATTTTTACTTCCCGCTTATGACAAAATTGCATAGCCGAGAAGTGGAGGGCTTAATGATGGGTGTATTTCACCCATGACCGGTCAAAGTTCAAGACCGGATAGTTGACCGGTCAAAGAAGTCAAACTTGCAAGAGAGGTCTGGATCGTCGGCGAAGGGATGACCGGTTGACCAAAAGGTTGACCGGTATACTTCGGATAGTATACCGGTCAAACTATACCGGCGACTAATTCGCCCTACAAAGTTGGCCACGCCAACCTACAAGAACCAACCGGTGTAGTTCCTAGAGATTGGGGAAGTGTCGGCAGGAGGAATCCAAAAGGACTTGGACTGTAGTGTTTGGAATTGCAGGGACGCTGAGGGAGTATTTCCAAACCAGAACGCGACAAGGGTGCCACCCCCCGCGCAAGATGACAAGGCAGCTCAGAGCCAGTCACTTCACACCACGCCAACAGCATGCCCCCACGTGGGCGCACGTGGTCCTGCTCCCCAGCCTAGTATATATACCTCTTGTAACCCTCGAATAAGGGGGGGATTCATTTTCTCTAAACTCCCTTGTAAAAGCACCCGGGCATTCTCCGTTATAATATAAATTGGGCTACAGGTGTTCCACCTAAAGTCCTACCGGTCAGTCTGCGTGTTTTTACCTTTCTTACTTTGCCAAATCAAGCAAACTATTCTAGACCCGGTCTAGTATAGTTTGACCGGTCAAGTAATTTACACCATCAGGTGCTGACTAGATTTTGACCGTTGACCGCAACCTTTGACCGCCGCCGATCACCGGCCGCCGCTACTCCGCCACCGCGTTGCCACCATGCCGCCGACCACCACTGCTAACCATTGGTTGACCGGTGTTGCTATTTTATTTTTAATTAATTTTTTAATTTTCAAAATATAAAAATAAGGTGAATTTTGGTGTTCAAAGTAATTAGCTTTGCAATGTCCATTGGTGAGCTTTGTAGTATAGTGTAGTGAGTTTGGCTTCATCTTACCGAAGCATGTCATCTCACTAGAGTCAATCTCATACACACACACAGATACATATACATACACACACACACAGATACATATACATATACATATATATATATATATATATATATATATATATATATATATATGTATGTATGTATGTATGTATGTATGTATGTATGTATGTATATGGGATCGATTTTAGTCAGATAACACCTTATGATTCGATGATAAGATGACGTAAAGCTCACCACTTTGAACATCAATACTCGCCTTTTTTAGAGTACCGGTTCTATGGCCACTGCTTTTAAGTGACCACGAAAGCCACTACTTCGATTTCGGGTGGTTACGGTGCTCCATTCGTAAAATTGATAATTCCAATCCCTTAACCCCGGCAGTAAACCCCTTCACCCAGTCCGAGCCTAACCCATCCCCCTCACCCATGTCAATTGCACCTACAAGTTTAGTTGACTTTAAAGTAAAACATTTTGACTTTAAAATCAACAAAACTTGCGAGGTGCAATTGAAATGGATGTGGGGATCGGATGGAAGAGTGTTGGGACTGGGTGAGGAGGCAGGATTCACCAATTTTACGAATGGCTTACGTGGCACTCAAAGTCAGAGACCATTGGACCTGGCCATTTTTTTTAATTCTAAAACCTAAAAAATTTAATTAAAAATAAAATAGTAAGACCGATCAACGGCAGGTGGCGGCGGCGACAGTCAACGATCAAAATCCAGTCAACATGGGTCAAAGTCAACAATGAAATGGTAACTTACAATGGAAAGTTATAGCGTTGCTCTGTGCCAATGCTTGTATTTAAAGAATAGAAAAATAGAAGATCATATTTTGATATAATTTTAATTTTTTAGTCCAATATGTGTAGATTTTTATGAAAATTTTCAAGAAAATAATACTCCTCTGTTCCTTAAAATCTTTTCTCTTTCATTTTTTTCCAATTCCCTAAAACACTTTCTTTTTCTATTAAAAAACCACTTTTACCCCTACTTTTTCATACCCTACCTATCACATCATACTTTTTCACTAATAACCAAACTATCATATCTTATTTTTTACTCATCACATCAGGGGTAAAATTGGAAGGTCAACCAAAATTACACTTTCCATAATTTGGCTAAAAGTCAAAACATGAACCTTTTTAGGGAAAGGGGGAGTATATAATGACGAATACAATTTATTAACTATCTAAAAAGAATAAACCAACACTCTATTTTAAAACAAAAAATAAAAGGTTTGGTATGATCATATATAGCAGTGTACCTTCAAAATCAAAATATATATATATATATATATATATATATATATATATATATATATATATATATATATATATGTATAGTACTATAGTAGTGTGGTGTGCAAATTGCGGGGAAGGGTTTCCTTGGAGGAATGAATAATTTCCAAATGAGACCACTAAGCCCTTATCCTTAAAAGGACATTTCTTGAAAGGAAACCCAAAACTTTAAATGTGGTCATGAGTTCATGACTCGTGAACACAACTTTGTTTCCATTTATGTAGTGTTTGTGCAGTGGGATTTCGTGCATCGACTCGATTTTCTTCCCAAACATAACCAAACCACAAGCAAAAAAGTCCTACAAAATTTAAGGGGTGGATATTTTAACACTTTCTCTTTATTGTTTTTAATTTGTATGAGTAGATTTTATAATTTGTTTGGTAGTAGAAAAAATTATTTAAATATTAACAACAAACAATAAATTGTAGAAGCATGTTGGTGTAATGGCAAGAAAGCCACCTCAAACTTCTTCACATATCGTTCAAGTCCTACTCTTGGTTTTAAGAGGTTAACATTTTCTTCCCAGTTACTATTTACACATTCAAACTTTAATCACTTTCTTAACTATGTAGAATTTTTAAATTCAAGTGTTTATTTACTTAATTATAAATTATCCATAGTAATTTAAAATATTGAATTAAAATTTAACACTTTTTTTATCATTACACGTTGATTTCGGGGATCGTAGCCCCGGGCCCCTCCTCAGTAATACTTGCCTCCGGCCCTCCTTTTTTATCCTTCACTGGGATCAGTTTAGTTTCTTGTATTGTGCGAAGTCAACGATATACCAACAAGATCGAAGGAGACCTGCGACCTAGCGGAGTGGAGATCTGCAGTTGATGTAAGAAAAATGATGGTCATGTGGCATGTCTGGTGGGATTGTCACGGGCTTGCGACAGCGCAAGGTGGTGAGATGATTAAGCATGTAATTGCTAGAGAAGAGATCTCAGGGGCGTGTGGTCTTGGTTTGAAGGAGGTTTGTTGGGTATGACAAACTATCCGAGCGGGGGAGAAGAAAATAACCTAAATGAATTGGTTTAACCCAATCTATTAGCATATGTGGTCTTTTGAGAGAGGTGTCTAGGTAAAACAAATTGAACAGACCTCAAGTCGAAGCAGACAATATCATACTCCTTCCGTTCCATTAAACACTTCCTCTTTCGATTTTTTTGTTTTCCACAAAACACTTCCATTCCACACTTTTTTCCCAAAATACCCCCAGCCCTAAAAGACTACCATCCCACCCATACCCAGCCCTTTACTGACACATATCGTCTCTCTCTCTCTTCCCTAAACCCTATCCTCACCTATGCCGATCAAATTTTCCATGGCCTCATCCCCTCCTTCTCCAGATCTGGACTGGGATATGCCTTCCTTTCGCCTTCTAAGTGAAAGCGATGAAGATGTTCGACCTCCTAAGTGCAAGAGGGTATGTTTTCCAGGCTACAACCCTGATGCATCTGATTCTTCTGACACCGATCCGTCTTGGAACTACCGGAAGAATTACCTTGGGGGTGATCATCTTCCGGACGGTGTAGAGTGGAATTCAGATTTAGACGAAGGGGAATCAGGGGATTCAGAGGTTGATTCATTCACCACCGAAGAGATTGGAGGAATGACCTCTGATACGGAAATTTTCTTTGCCAAACCCGTTGGAAGTCCAATGAAGGTCATGCAATTTGAACAGAGTAAAGTGCTTCAATCCTCTGTTCTTTATGAATTTTGTATTGCCTCTGTTTCTGTAAACCCTTCATGCTCTGATTTTGGGGAAAAATTACGAAGGGTTAAAGCCCCTGTTGTTTATGCAGTGTTGTCTTCTTAAAGTAAAATTTCTTGCTTCTTGACTTCATTGCATATTTTTTTAGGCAAACTAATGATGCAAACCTTAGTCTTTCTGAATTATGGGAGAATTGCTTCACTGTAATGCCACCCCTATAGGTTTGGAGGCTTACTGTGCTCAATTTGGAATATGTCTTTGCCACCCCTATGATGTTGAGTGCCTAAATGCTTATGATTGAACTTCTAAATGAATTTTTGAGGCAGCCCAACCATGGTTTGAGTCCCTAGACATGCCTGCCCCTTTATATGCCTATGATTGAACTTCTAAATGAATTTCTGAGGCAGCCCAACCATGGTTTGAGTCCCTAGACATGCCTGCCCTCTTTATATGCCTATGATTGAACTTCTAAATGAATTTCTGAGGCAGCCCAACCATGGTTTGAGTCCCTAGACATGCCTGCCCCTTTATATGCCTATGATTGTAGAACAAAGTTGAGTTTTGAGGCATTTTATCTGCCTATGATTGATATTCAGT